GTGAAGGGAAATCTCCCTAATTAGACAGAGACAGCCAAGTAAAAACTAACAGTAGTTTTACCACCCCCCAACTTTCTCTTAACTTAAAAAAAAAGTTTTGACTTCAGATATATTTTAACATCAACATGAGCCAGTTTTTCATGAAGTGCCACAGGTATTAAATAAACCTCTGTAACTTGCACATGTGGGTAAAAGCCCTTAGTAAACTGTGATGATGGATCCTCTTCTACTGTAGATGCTAGTGTTTCTATTTGAAGCTATTAGTATCTTTATACATTATAATTACCAAAGCAGAGCAAAACCTGTCTGTCCTCATGGTGTATAGTTACAGTACATTAATACTAAATGGGAGAAATACAATGAAAATAGATACTCCATATTCCATTATTTTATTCATATTTATACTTTTATTTATTGCTTAAGCATTGATAGTTTTTTTTTATCAGTTAGGCATTGGTCATCAGTGAATATCACAGATGGTCTTATGTGATACCTGCTGATTGTTGCCCAAGCGATAATAACAAATGACTCTTGACATATGTGAACTATCTCCTTCTTTTACTGCATATTCATAGGCAACCCACAGACAGGCAAAGCTAGAGTCCAGCAACGCATCACACTGTGGATTACAGCAGGCAGACGGACATATGTTTCACACTAGGGGGAAATCCAGCACAAAGACATATAAAAATTGACCCTGCCACCTCATTTTGATAAGGAATAATTTTATGTTGGAAAAGCATATATGATAAGAAATAGACAATATCAATGCTGTGCTCCAGAATTACGTTTTTAGGAGGTATTTTTTTCTGTATTAGAATTTAGCCTGCAGTGCCACATAATGATTTACTAAACTTGATTAGTTCAGTGAATTTGTGTTTGTTAGGCCATGTGCACAGTATCTGGGAAGTGTAACAATTTCAAATCCTCCAAGATCACTTTTTCTTGCAGTTAGGCATTCCCACGCATCTACATACATTTAGCCACATTTAGAGTTTCAAATTAGATCCTGCATGCACAGAATTCTATTTTGCCTAAATGGACCTAAATGCAGATAAAAACTAATTTTGAATGATACCATTGAAAATTAATTTGTAGTATTTATGTGTTTAGAAATGTCTTCTAATGCATAAATGCAGGCTTGACGTTTCCAGTGTAAATGAGAGCTAAGATTAGAAAATGAAATCTTGTTTTGGTAAATCTCTACATTTTGTTTGAAAGAAGCTTGTTACTCCAGATATAAAGTATTTTTAAAATATCTTTTAAGTCAAGAATTCTCTACACAAATAATCACTCAAGATTGTTTTAATGGAGAACAAAAAATATTTTAGCAAGCACTTAAGCAATTAAATTAGCTTGCCAAATTCACATCTACAGCTATCCATACACTAGTAGATTTTCATCTGAAAGTTTGGGGTACATTCGATGACTGACGTAAAGTACAGTATGTAAAAATTTATTTTGCTTTTTACATTTTATTTTAGAATGACTTAATTTTTCTGGATAAAAAACGCATACACTGTTAGAAATGTGTTTGTTTCAGACAAATTTTCTATCCTGCTCCTTCAAATGTTCTCATCACTGTGCCCAAAAACAAATGTTGATTTGATCCCACTAAGGATTAGAAAATTGATTGAACATTCCTAAATAATAAAATTTCAATAAATGTCTACTAGTGCATGGCCAACTTAAATGTATGTAAACTTACCTCATTTTCTAACTAAAATCTATTCACAGAATAAAGTAAAACATTGTAACACTTAAATATTCTATTAAATCAGATGATTTTTAAATACAAATGTTGCTTTATATGGAAGTTAAATAACAGAAATCCTGCAGCAGTAAAAATACTTGTTTACTATGAAAATGCATTGCCTGTAACCATATCAAGAAAAATATGTGAATTCCAGCATTTTACAGTACTCAAAGTTTGTAGAGTAAACACAACTTCAAACCACTGAGACAAAAGAGCCAAGGCGGGGATATACTAAAGTGTGCACATTTTTAACACAGCAAAGAACCCGTATTGACTTTTGACAACCAATCAGAGAAAAGGGATAGTACTTATTTTCCTATTTCTCTGAATTTAGCTGGACTTTAGAAAAGCAGTCAGGATTCCTGATCTGATATTAAAAGTGTGCTCTTTAGAAAGTCATCCCCACGATACGAATGACACCTTCCCGAAATGGGACCATAAGTAAATCAATGGCATGTCATAAATAAAAGTATCAAGCCACTAATTCCACTCTGACACTTGTACCACAGTGATGTCAGTAAAATCCAGGGTTTCCTTATAAACCACACTGTAGGCCTAGAACAACTGGATAGACATGCAATACATCATTTCCTGCCGAGTTTCCTGTTCTGTTTGTATATTCCATTTATAAACTCTTCATGGTATTCCAAAGGCTGGTACTAAAATAAATCTATTAGACTGCCAGAGATATCCAATGTGGAATAGTATGTTGTCTCCTTCCAGGATTGTGCCAAGCTCCCAAGTCACAAGATTGCCCATTCAAAATCCATCCTCCATAGCCATCAAGTCACATACATGAAAGCAATAGATCCAAAATGCAGCATGTACCATGGTAACAGGTGCAGAGAGTGAACAGCAGGTAAATCCATGTAGATGCAGTGGTGAAATATAGAGAAAATGTTGAGGGCTCAGGAAAACTGGCATTTTATGCTCCGATCTTTGTATTCTTCACAATGAGGTATTGTTAAGTATAAGATCTGTCAAACAATGAAGCTTTGATAGAACATAATACCTATTCAGGAGCACAACTTTGCACATTTACTCTGGACACACACAAAACACAAGCTGAATTTGCCTTTTCGTGGCACACAATGAGCATCTGACATAATACTTTACCTAATAGCTTTAAATCAACAAATGTATAGGGAAGTATGCTCACTGCTGTCCCTGCTCTCTGTGGGACATTCATCGCAAATCTGAGATCCCATTATACAATCATTGTAAATAGCCTACCCTCTATTGACTTTTTATTAATTCATTAGATATGTCACTAAATAATTTCCACTGTTTTTTTTTCTTTAAAACTAGAAAATATGCACACTCATTAATGATAGATACAATAGACAGCCGAGGAGGAAGGTTATACAAAAACATGCATATCTCTTGAGTGTCATTTGTACAAGGGTGAATACATTTACACAACTCATTGGATCTTATTTTTGTAAAACTGGAAATAGAGAAAGCTATTTAAGCGCGATAGGTTTGAGCTTTTAATCCTGAAATATAGAATGAGTTTGGTTGTCGCTATCAACATAATACATTTTCACTGGAATTTTCTTTTTCACTAAAACATCACACTTCCTGATCTGTAATGGCATCCAAAGAAATGGCATACACATCTGATATCGACAAGCTATTCAAAATCAAGAAACTATTATTTCAATCTGAAATATATGATGACTTTTGCCATTTAATTATGTAGACCTAACCAACAAAATCTTACAGAAGCCTTAACATGTTAATTTCATTCCAAAAGTCAATGTTTTTAAAACAAAAGCTTTAATTTAGAAAAAAAATCTGGTGATCCTGCCAGAAAGGTTAATGTTATGTTATTTTAATTATTATAGGATGACAACACTATTTCCCACTTGTGCTCCAGCCTCATCAACCTGTCACATGGGCTTCTGATGGAGTGGCCAATGTTTAACCCACATTACGTATGCATAGTTTACTGTTGTCATCTGCAGGGAAGCATACTTATCAGATATAGTGGAGGAGACCCTCTTTATAGATGTTTGGCCCCATGATGGCTTTGTCCCAGACACACAGCATGATGCTCAATGAGCATTTGATTGGTATGATAACTGAACAATTTAAAATAAGGCAGGACTTAAAGCGATAGTAAAAACCTCTTTTTTGTAAAAACCTCTTGGTGACTTTTACCTATGGGTAAGCTTATAATAAAGCTTATCTGCAGGTACAAGGAATATCTCGTAAATGTGCACTGTTCAGGAGATATTTTCTATAATTCTTGCAGCCAGTGATGTCACCAGCATATGTGCGCTGCACTCTGAAGGGGCTGCATACTGAGTATAGCGCCCCTTCAGAGCGCTGTGCCATGATTGCGGATCCTGTGCACATGCCTGAGAATGATTCCGCAAACTCGGAATGAAGACAGGGTGAGGGTGGAGGCCCTGTCAGCAGTGACAGCTTGCCCCTGGAGGGCTTTGTTTTAAGGTATGTCTCTCATAATTTACTAGTATAACATTAACATGCAGGGCATTGGATTTTTATTTTCCCGGACTTTACTACCACTTTAATGCCAAACTTAGCATTCAACTATGGATTGGGGGTGGAATGCATGTTGATGTGATGCTTAGCTGCCCTGTGCTGCATGTCCTTACTCAGCATATCCACAATCAGCTCATAAAGGGTCGACAGCAGGCAAGAGCCAGGCAGCATGATGTCACAGGTGAGACGGGGTAGTGACATCACAGAGTGGGGTCACAGGTGAAATGTGATGGAGGGGTTATGACTCTAACTTGTACATACTAACCTACACATCCATATCACAGGGCTGAAGGTAGATTAGATCAGTCTAAATGGGCTAATTTACTATACAGTAGTGTAGATACAAAGGGGTAATTAATAATAAAAATATAGCATCCGTTTGTCATCGAACATCAAAGGAGCCCTTAGTGACCCTTTGTGCCCCAGCACTGACTACTGCCTCTCATCCGGGATAGCACAGCACACACTGATTACACAGATCACAGTATAATGGAATACTCTGATGACCTGCCATACAGGTCATTGGTTGTACACTGACCTGTGTGCAGGGACGGACTGACCATTCAAGCACTCGGGCACTGCCCGAGGGCCCGTGGTCAGTAGGGGGCCCCATGAAATGTCCCTGGTACCTTTTTATAGGCTTTTTTGAGTATGGGCAAGGACACAGGGGCCCCATGATCCCTATTGCCCGGGGGCCCCATGAGTTGTCAGTCTGCCCCTGCCTGTGTGTTACCTACTCCTGAGCTCTGTGACCTGTACAATACACACTCCCAAGGCTTGTATAATATGCATTCCTAAGCTTTATCTTGTATAGTACCAGAGTTTTGCACCCTGTGCGCTACACACTCCTGAACCCTGCACCCTGTGCAATACACATTTCTGAGCCCTGTGCTAAATACACTATGATGTACATTTCATAATCCTGACTACTGAACTCTGTTTGCTGGGTTATACATGACTTACTCCTGACCACTGCAATCTTTTTGCTATATTTTACATAACATACTTCTGACCAACGTGTTTATTGTCTCAACAGTTGCTGGTTGGTAAGTAGTCAATGGCTATTTTATGAAGTTCTTCTTTAAGGTTTACCAGAAATCATATATATCAATATAATCATCAATATAATAGAAGAGTTTATTTTTTTTTTTAAGAATGATTGGGTTGGTTGTCTGTTAGACTTGTGGCACAATGTTTAAAGTATATTGTGGGGGTACAAGGACTGTGGCATATGTATGCCATGTATACAGTGAGTAGACTCAGGCTTTATTTAACCATGTCTCTTTAAGCCCCTGCCACTGTTAGCGCAATTTGGCCACACCCACCATTTGAAGTGGCGTGCTATGTGCACCTTTTTGCTACTCTCCTTTGGGTGCTCAGGGGTGCCCAAATCGTACTAACACCCCACCATTAGCCATCAGAAAAAAACAAGATGGAGCTCTAGGGGACTTACATTGCTGCAAGTAGGCGTGCATGGGCAAATGATTCAGAATTTGCCACAGTGTAATGCCTCCTAACTAGCTTTATTACACAGGATTTCAGAATTTCTACATGATCTTCAAAACTACTTGCTGCTACCTCTTTTGCCAAGCACTGCAGGATTTTTTCCCACCTACAAAAACTTTCAACTCAACAGCAGCCATAACAGGTATTGAAGTACTCAGCAGAAAGATTAGTGTCAGGTGGTATTTTTAATAGTTTATGCCAGGGGTAGGCAACCTTTGAGAGGTGGAGATCTATCTGAACAACATGAAAGAGATCAAAGATCACTGGGGTTCGACCAGTAACGAATTAGCATGGCCTAACTACAGGCAGTCCCCGGGTTATGAACACTATAGGGTCTGTGGGTTTGTTCTTAAAGCGGAGTTCCACTAATCCTGTCAAAAAATAAACGTCAGCATCTACAAAAACTGTAGCTGCTGACTTTTAAAAAACAGCCACTTACCTGTCCCTTGGTCCCTGTCGTGTGTCCCCCGCAGCCCGTTTCACCTGCTGTCCTGGATTCCTGGAGGCCGGCATCTTCAGTGTGGGCACCCGACTGTGACTGCTTGCTGCTTCACAGCTGGGTACCCACTGCGCATGCGTGAGTAGTGGTGCGCTTCATGAATGGTCCTGTAGTCTTCTGGGACCTGTCACGTGTCCCAGAAGACTACGGGGTGGGAAAGAGAGAGGACACCTTCCGTTTTCGATAGCCTAGGCCAGTGGTGGGCAAACTTTTTTTTTCAACTGAGCCAAATCTCGCCAAAACCACGATTGAAATTTATTTTGAGAGCCACATTTTTAAAACTGAAAATACATCCCCCATATAGTAATTCATCCCCCATAGTAATTCATCCCCCATATAGTGATTCATCCCCCATAGTAATTCATCCCCCATATAGTAATTCATCCCCCATAGTAATTCATCCCCCATATAGTAATTCATCCCCCATAGTAATTCATCCCCCATATAGTAATTCATCCCCCATAGTAATTCATCCCCCATATAGTAATTCATCCCCCATATAGTAATTCATCCCCCATAGTAATTCATCCCCCATAGTAATTCATCCCCCATATAGTAATTCATCCCCCATAGTAATTAATCCCCCATAGTAATTAATCCCCCATAGTAATTCATCCCCCATATAGTAATTCATCCCCCATAGTAATTCATCCCCCATATAGTAATTCATCCCCCATAGTAATTCATCCCCCACATAGTAATTCATCCCCCATAGTAATTAATCCCCCATATAGTAATTCATCCCCCATAGTAATTCATCCCCATATAGTAATTCATCCCCCATAGTAATTCATCCCCCATATAGTAATTCATCCCCCATAGTAATTCATCCCCCATATAGTAATTCATCCCCCCTATAGTAATTCATTCCCCATATTGTGTCAATTCACTTACCTTTGCTCCGCTCGTTCCTCTCGCTGTGTTCCCGCGCCGTTCCGGTCTTCAGGGCGGACTGTGAGAGGAGAGGAGTTCGTCACGCTGCCCCGCCTACATCCTGACAGCCAGTGTTTGCCATGCTCCGCGGGCCGGATTAAAAGGTCCGCCGGGCCGTAGTTTGCCCATTGCTGGGCTAGCTGCAGAGTCCTGACTTTTGGGGCGGCCGCCCGAGAGGAGGGAGGGGAGCGAGCGCCCGGCACACAGAAGAGCCGCATTAAAATGTGTAAAGAGCCGCATGTGGCTCGCGAGCCGCGGCTTGCCGACCACTGGCCTAGGCAGTCTGACCGCAGTTGGGAGCCGGTACCTGTCAAATTCAGGTACTCGCTCCCCCTCCACTTCCCAAAGATGCCAATCCTTAATGGGGAGCAGTCCTTAAAGTGGAACTTCCCCTTTTGGGTGGAGCTCCGCTTTAAATTTAATTTGTATGTAAGTTGGAACAGGTACATTTTTTAAGTGTAGCTCCAATCAAAAATATTATTTATAAGTTTTTTTGGATAGCATAGAGAAGGGTTAACATCCCTGTAATGTTTGTTTTGCTGTCTGTGCCTGTCCAGGAGATTTCACCTCCCTTTCTGTTCCTGTGACAATTGGATTTTGAAAATTTTGTGTTGTCGTGGAAACAAGGATTAGTGATAAACCTTCAGTGGAGACACCTTTTTCCCATGATAACTCTTATAGGAGTGAATTTTCCTTTCTAGAGGTAGGTTTCCTCTCACTTTTTTTTTCTTTCTCCATTCGTAGGTATGAGTTGTTTGTAATTCAAATGTTCGCAACTTGGGGACTGCCTGTAAATAGTAAGGATAACTTAAAAAAAATAATAAAACAAATGTCACTGTAAAAATATAAACTTGGCCTACCTTAACCACTTCCCACCCGGCCTATAGTAATATGATGGCCGTCCCTCCAGTAGGGCGTCATATGACGTCCTTCCCGGATCGCACATTGCGGGTGCCCGCAGGGCCGCTCTTTGGCGAGGTCTGTCTCCGGCTGTGTACCTCGGACATGGCCGATGACAGATCTGTGCACCGCCCCGTTGCCAGTACCAGGTGACCTGCTGTGACCAATCACAGCAAGCCACATGACAGTTGTATATAATGGATGGCTTTTCTTTCATGCCATCCATTATATACAAGTGTGTCTAGCTGTGAATGGTCACAGTAATCACATGCACAGGCAGGGCCAATAATAGCCCATCTGTGTCATGTGATTAGCTGTGGCCAATCACAGCTGATCACAACAAAAAAAAACCTGAATGAATCAACTTCATTCAGTTAAATGCATGCTTATAGCAAAGAAATTCTTTGCTATGAGCACTCAAATTGTCTAAAAAAAAAAAAAAAAAATTATCACTTTCCCAAAGTAGTACAATGTTACTATGCTAACATTATACTACTTTGGCATAGTGTAATATGAAAAAAAATCTTAAAAAAGAGAAAAAAATGTAATACAAAAATAATTTAAAAATATATATATTTTTTTAAATTATAATTTTTTTTTTTTTCGTACTGTCACCAGTGTCCCTGATCACTGCCACACCAGTTAGATAATGATGCTGTACTGTACTGGTGACAGTATGTAAAAGAAATTTGTGAAAACATTTTTTTAATTTCTTCATTTTCCAAAAAATTATGACAAAAAAATGACAACTTCAAAAACTCACCATGCCTCTTATGAAATATGTCGGACTGTCTACTTTTCAAAAAGGGGTCATTTTGGGGATATCTGTACTGTTCTGACATTTTTGGGCCTCAAGAAATTAGATTGGCTGTCAGTACTTTAGGATTGATCAATTTTCAGATATATCCCATAGATTATGAACTCTATAACTTTCCTACAGACTAAATAATAAATACAAATTTTGGCTATTTTCACCAAAGAAATGTAGCAGAATACATCTTGGCCTAAATGTATGAAGAACAATTATTTATTTGCAAACCTTTATAACAGAAACAAAGAAAAAACGTGTTTTTTTTTTCAAAATTTTCGGTCTTCTTTTGTTAATTTAGCAAAGGATAAAAACCCCAGTGGTGATTAAATACCACCAAAAGAAAGCTCTAGCTGTGTGAACAAAATTATAAAAATTTAGTTTGGGTACAGTGTTGCATGACCGCGCAATTGTCCTTCAAAATGTGAGAGCACCGAAACCGGAAAATTGGCCTGGGCAGGAAAGGGGTAAAAGTGCCTGGTATTGAAGTGGTTAAAAGTGCACAGTGTCAGTCAGTAGAGCACTGGACAGTGTCAGTAGGGCAGTGAACAGTGTGTGGACAGTGCCAGTAGAGCAGTGGGTTGTGTCAGTAGGGCAGTGGGTGTGTAAGTAGAGCCATGGATAGTGTCAGTAGAGCAATTTACATTTTCCAGCCCCGTCCCTGCTCTCCATCCTGAAAGCATCCTCCACAGCAGCCAGAGAGGTGAAGAGGGGAACTGTGGAGGGCAAGCGAATAAATGGGGGGCCGAGCAACACCAGGAAGAGAAACCTGGAGAGGAGAGGTGGCGGGGCAGCATTTAATGAAACTGATGGGTATATTTTCCTCCCTGCAGCAGCTGAATATGATCGGGAGGGAGAATAAGTGGGCATTACAGGCATTCAATTGCTGCAGGGAGGAAAATGCAGCCATCAGTTCCACTAAATGCACTCTCCTCTCCAGGTTCTGGGGTCAGCAACAAAGGGATGCAATCTACCAGTCACCTGCCTATGATCGGCGGGTAGATCATGATCGACGGTTGCTGACCCATGGTTTATGCCAAATGTGCTTGCAGTGTAATTGGTATTTTTTATTCTTATTCTTATTATACAGGATTTATATAGCGCCAACAGTTTGCTCAGCG